TCACAGCACCAGCACCGGCACCCGGCAACAGCACCAGCAACCTGTCTCCACCACGTGCACAGCCAGCTCACAGCAGTCTCCACCACATGCACAGCCAGCTCACAGCACCAGCACCAGCACCAGCACCCAGCACCAGCAACCTGTCTCGAAAGCGCGCACGGGCAACTCATTGTTATTTGAAGTAAGAACCCCATAGCTTCGCTATCTGGGGAACAACGTCCCTCCCCTTAATAATGAAGTATCCGACCGCCAGCCTCATATCGCCCGCCACATCAGTCATATCTCTCTTTCAATAACCGAGAGGTTATTGCCCCTCCCAACCTCCCCAACCCAACCCTTTGTGAACAAACGTGTGATCATTTCCACCCCCTAATCCAACACACTCAAGTTAATCCTTCTAAAGCTTCTGTCATTCATGCATGTCCAATATTAATATATACCAAATACATAAATGCCTGTATATACAGACTTTAACTATAACTATAACTATAACTGTAACTACAACCAGGACCATGACTGCACACACACAGATATATATATATATATATATCTAGGTGTTTCGATTTTGCATGATTTTGCCGATGTTGCCTGAATACCTTGGCGATCTGAGTTGCTAGCTCCGGCTCCTACCTCAGCAGTTGGTGGTTCTGGCATCACCTCTTGGGAAGTCTGGCACCACCACACACAGTGTTGCAGGGATGAAGTGCCAAAGTTGTCAGAACGTGCCGAGTGCACATGAAACAACGTCATAGTGTGCAGTAAAAGCCTAGACATGTTTTATCAAATTTAGCAAAACATATACTCTCATAGGACATTCAAGCCACCAGCACTGACTCCAGCTTCAAGGATTTCTTGCCCCCTAGCCAGCTAAGTCCAGTGCTACTTCGCCTTCGAGGGCTACGACCTGAAGCGTTGCAAGTGGATAGAGTTTACGCTAACAGTTTGCCTATGGGAGGTGCAGCAGAAAGCGCCGCATCCATCGAACCAACCTGATGAAAGTTTAAGCTTCAGGCTCCTTTCCCTCCGTTTCCGACTGTCTCCGCCTTGGCTTCTATTCGATCTTCAAGGAGTGGCCCGTGCCACCTTTATCCTTTATTGTTGCTCCAGGCTGTGGCAAAATCGACTTAAATGATCTTAAATGGATCCCACCCGAAAGCCTTAGCTTGAGATCGATCCATGGGGAGGGGGATGGGAACGGGACTCACCCTATCCGCCCAAACGCGCCATCGCTTCAAAGGGATTCCAAGGCTCCGGCGGTCTCTCCGGCGGACCTGGGGACTTCGACCTCAAGTCGCCCACAGCTTGGACATGTAACATCTGTAAGGAAAACACGGATCAAACATGATGAACATAAACGAAAAGCCATTAAGATCTTTCAAGCTGGGCACATTCAAGGACAATTTGCTTGCAAATCCCATGTCAGATCATGAGAATGATAAAGAACATCAGCAACCCATCTCCCGTCCAAGGCCCATACTTCGGTGTTTCTTGGTGCTGCGACTTCGGCTCCTTGCTCCTCAGTGATGGGTCAGAGTGACCGAGAAAAACACCCAGCAAACCTCCAAGGTCATGGCGCCGGCGTGTGCTACGACTCCTGGCCCAAGGACTCCAATGGCGCATTTTTGGGGACTCCATAGGTCCTCTGCTAGAGCTTTAAGGGGTTAACCGGGTTAACCCTTACATAGTGGTTTAGTAAGAAATCCCGTCTACACCAAAAAGACAAAAGGTCTAGAAGGACGCCTGAGGACAGTCAACCTGAACACATTGCAAGCACGAGAACAAAGAGTTGAGACGATTGTGTAAACAAGTTGTAATACTAGGAACAAGGACGCTACTAGGGTCTCCTGGCATCCCTACTAGCAGCAAGGACGCTGCTAGGGGCTCCTGGCATCCCTACTAGGAGCAAGGACGCTTCTAGGGGCTCCTGGCCTTACTACTA